GACCATGGATCGAAAAGCTGGATAACTCATGCAACAGAACGATAAGTTAGAGTCAGAGCCAGACTTATGATACAACTTAATGGTTTTCAATTCGGATTGCACATCTCGTAGTTGTATTACCTTATCCTTAAAGTTGATTTCTGGGTTGGCCTCCTCGTGCCAATCCATTCCCAGAATCATATCAAAGGGCAAGTTCTTTTCTACCAAAAACGAGATTTCATGTGCAATCTTCTTTCCGTCCTTCGTGCGGAAATAGCATTTTACATGATCGACATACTGAGAGACAGTGATCGTGCTCTTGTCTGCTAAGATAAACGTGATGGGTTGAGACAAATCTTTTACCTTCATTCCGAGATGTAGCTTTTTGATTATAGGATCGTGTAGATCCTGAATCTAACAGTGCACCCGCGCGTACGTGTGCGATTTCTATATCAGCGAGTAGTAATTCACCCTTAGACTTTGCTTTCTTAGCCCACGAGCTTCGCAGTGCTAGCAACTCGTTGCTCAGCTCGTCAAGGGAGTCGTCCAGAAAAATGGAACATAAGACAGGTTCAGGGTGGTTTGGACGAGGGGCTGGAGAAGGATCATCCTCTGCCCTGCGAGTTGAAGGATTGAAAGGGTTAGTAGGCGCCTTACCTTTCTCTATTCCTGAATCCTTCAACTTAGTAGAAGCGGATGTTACTTCTACTGGCGGCTGGCTTTTGGGTTTCGTATAAGCGGACACCAGGCTATCACATGCCCTGCGGTCCCGCATTTCAAACACTGGGCGTTATCCATTCGCTCTTGCCACGTCTTTTGGTCTATGTCCATCTTTTCCCAAGGCTTCCCAGCCGCGATGCCGGGATGTTCGGGGAAAGATCGGGGCCTCCTCCTCACACCAGGTTTTGGTCCTCCCTTCTTAAATATGGCGGCAATAACTTCCCCCTTTCCGGATCCGTTGCCGCCTGACACACCCTCGGCCTCCAATGGCCACTTCTCTACGGTGTCGTCACCAAAGACGACAAGGGTGTGATCTGCGCGCTTCTGGCGCCACAACACTCGCTTACCTGTACCTGCATGACCACCAGATTTCACCACAGATGCATACGATTGTTCAACCTGAGAAGTCATTTGCTCTCTCTGGAGAGCCAGATCGCGAAACTGCCTGTACTTATACTTACCGGACTTTGACTCCGCCACTAACTGACCTCGTATAGGTTCAGGTAGGGCCCGGGCATAGATATACAAGACCTGATCGTCATGCAGATTTAGACCCGGTACTTGCAACAATCGGTCGACCTCACGGGACAACGCTTCTACAGACGTCCAATGTCTCTGACCTATATTAGTGAGCTGATCGAAGGCCTTGTCGGCCGTTGTTTTGTCGAGGAAACGTTCCTTGATTTTGTTCAGGAACTGTTTCAGAGTCATTGTTCCGGCCCACTTACCAATGTCGTCAAAACCTGTCGCGTTGGCTTCGGCCAGGACCCATTCTTTGGCCTCTCCTCCAAGACATGACGTGGAGAAGGCTACCCGTGATTCTTCTTCCACTGGGGTCGTCCCGACGTAGATCTGTATTTCCGCGATCCACAGTAATAAGTTTTCATCCTTCTTATTACTGAACGTGAAAGGCAATTTCATCTTCACCTTTTCTTTCTTCTTCGGCTTTTCTGGCTGTGCCGTGTTTTCGTTCGTTCCTTTTGGTGATCCGTTAGGTGGTGGACTTGATGGATCTGAAGGTCCCCCAGATTCTTCATTCCTAATTGTGGTGACCCTTAATGACGTCATCGCATCACTCATCAATTTTTTTGGCTTCTTTTCGTTTTGAGTTTTTTCTACCTTGTTCTTTCCTTTCACCAGGTTGGTGACAGTACGCAGGCCGGCAGTGAGCTCTTCAATGTGCAGACCTTGCTGTTCAATTCTGGTTTCTAAATGAGCAAGGTAGGTGATGAGTTGTGGCAATGATACATTTTGTCCATCCTCTCCAATCACCAAAACATTTTGTCTAATCTCCTGCACTCTTTGTTCTTGCTGATTTATTCTTTTCTGTTGTTTTTCCAGTTCTTCTTTCCTTATTCTTTCTTTGACGAGTGCTTCTTCCAACTGCTTGATGTTCTCATTTACGGTTGCCAGAGTTGCTGGCTGTTCCTTCTTTTCACTGCCATTTGCAACTTCAATATATCGGTCCATGATGTACTTGTCAAGTGCCTGTCGGCATTTGATAAGTACACCCTGGACTTCCACGGCTTCGGTGCCAGTTTCAGCGGCTACCAGGGCAGCATGCGTGGCCTCAAGATCATACAATGACCGCACATGTGCCTCTGCCTCATCCCCAGCATCATGCAAGTCAGACAACAAGATTTCCAGGCGGGCAAGAAGGACCTTTTTCCACTCTACTACTTGTTGACGTGTGCGAACATCAGGTAAGTTTGTCATCGGGGTCTGAGCAGCACTCTCGGTTTGAGACATTTTCAGTAAATAAATAAATCAATAAATAATCAGCAATAATAAAAAATATATATATATATATTACTAACGCTGTATTCTTTTTCTTTTGCTCTTTACAGTATTACGTCAGGCCTTTGATCAGAGAATCAATCAAGTGAGTACAACACCACAAACAAACAATCACAGGGTAAGTACACCAACACAACAATCAAGGCGTCAGTATCCTTCTTCCCCCCTGCAATCACTCTCTTGTTGTACCCTTCCCCCTAACACTCCAACTATTCAGACGGCACTACAGCTGTCAACAACAATCAGCTGTACCGCCACTGCCGTCGGAATGTATGTACAGGTCAGAATGTCAACTCCAACACACACGCAGCAAGGTGCCACGTCAGCAATGGTATGGGAGTGACACGTCAGCGTCGTGTCCAGATCGTCCCATGTGCCTGTATACCGCAATGCTGTATCTGTACCAGCCTCAAAGTTCGACTGTGGGAGAACATGCCACGTCAACAGCTTCCAATATCCAGGTCGCAACCAAGATGCTGTACCTGCCAC